GTTGGAGCTTTTGAGGTGGTTAATGGGTTTTTTTTCTTTTTTTAAAAAAAAAAAAAAAAAAAAAAGGGTGAATCCTTCTGTCTGTTTGATGAATCTGATGATGTAGTGTCCTGCTCTGCAGTCAGGCTGCCCTTTCAGTGTGTGGTACTGTGTGCAAGACACCAGATGGGCGAGCAGAAACTGCAGCGCCACAAATAACTCGCCGCTAATATGCGGCCTGTAACGTGTTATTTTCCTTTGAATGAAGCTGTAAACAGGAGTGATGAGTTTACCGCCAAGCCAGGATCCTGTCCAACTGCAGATGGACCGTCTCCCAGTTCCGTGGACTGCGAGTTTGATTTGGACTGTCCAGGCTGGCAGAAATGCTGCCAGAGATGTGGCCGGTTCCTCTGCAGCGATCCGACAAGTTAGTGCTGCTCCTGTTTGTGCTATTATTAAAAACAAAAAAACAACAACAAAAAAACAAAAAAAAAAACGGTGGAGATGCTGTGCTCTGTGTGTTAACGCGACCGGGGTTTTATTAAAATTACGTTTTTTTGTCATTTTTTAAAGAGTTTTAGGTTCGAGTGAAGCCACAAGTAGCAGAGATGAGTCTACTGTCATCCAGCAACAATAATCTCAACTAAATCTTAATAGATAGTGTTATACGGGTTTATAACTCAAGCCGTGTTGTTTCCACCAAATTTCCCCTTGAAAAGTCTCACTTTTTCATACTCTGTGGATCAGTGGCTTTAAATATGTCTGAGGGAGGAAGGCAAGAAGGCAAAAATAAAATAGAAACCCAAAGAGGAGCAGAAAGAAACATGGAAAGAAAGGGCTGAAGGACAGAAAAAAGGGACACGGAGAAGAAAGGAAGTAAGAAATAATGAAAAAAAGGTAACAGTAAAATACAAAAGAGAAGAACAAAACCAAGGAAGGAAAGAAAGAAACATTAAACAAAATGGGAAAAAAGGAAGAAACGATGAAAAACACAAAGAAGGAAGGGAGGAATGATATAAAGATGGGAAAAGGGAGAGACTGTAGGCAATAAAATCTAGAAGAACAAATATTTTTACTTATTTTTGCCCTACACTTCTCCAGAGTCTGAAAAAAAAGAATAATATTCCATATTTAATTTTCCAGAACTTAATTCTGGTCGAAAATAAATATGACTTTAATAGTTTAGGGCTTTTATTTATCTGAACACAGTTGAGTTGGAAACACCACCTTTAGAAGCAACAACCTTAAACAACTGCCCGCCCGCCGTGTGACCCCAGTGGTCTCTGACGTCGTTCTGGTGGAAATTCAGCCCACTCTCACTTCAACATGCCTTCAGTTCATTGAGGTCTGTGGGTTAAAGGGTTGACTTGTAGATTACAGATGTCAGCAGTTGCCTCTGCAGGACTGTCTTTATATGTATTTATTCTCAACATGGATTTGAGAAAGAAACAAGAAAATGATTGAGTTTGGCTGAAACTGATCATCCGAACTGTACTTTTAGGATCAGAACAGGAAGTGGGGTTTCAAGGAAGCTTCTGGAACACAACGGTGACAGTGAACATGGATTACCAGCAACTGTTGTCACAGGAAAATGGGCTTTTGAATCTCACCAGATTATTACACGCAATGGTAACACGGCTCCTACTTTCATTAACCCATTCCTATATATACAGTGTCTTGCAAAAAAAAAAAAAAAAAAATTCCACTGGATGTATCTAAACTTTGTCACGTTACAACCACCATCTTCCAGTGGAGGATTTTATCTGGCCAATATAAATAAAAAATAGCTATTAATTCAGGGGAATTGAAAGCCAAGTAAAAAAACGAATGGTCTGGTATGTGCCAAAACATGGGCTGGATCAATTTCACATAGTGACTAACATTGTTACCCATTCCTTTTTGCATCTGTGGATGGAGAGTGTCTGAAAACACCAATTCTCAGGAATTGTTTCAGATTCTCAGCTACATTTAAGGATGGACTTTGACTGGACCATTCTGACACATTAACATTGCTTCGAGTTAGGCCGTCGCACTGTAGCAATGGCTACAAGGGGGTGTGTGTGTGTTTTTAATAATTTATTTAGGTTTTTAAAATGTCTTCCAGATCCAGTATTACATTTTTTGTTAGAAATTAAACTTGATTGATCTTTGAAAAGGCATACTACTATTATTATGCCAATACGATTATATTATTTGAAAATGGAAAATACCATTATATTATTTGAAAATAAACAAATAATATTGTTTATTCCAATATGTTGTTGTTGTCAATTTGTCATCGTGACAGGCTTATGTTCAGGGTTGCTAGGTGAACATCCGTCCCAGTCATAGCAGCATCCCTGCGTTCCCACAGGATGATGCTGCCACAACCACACTTCTCAGGATTCCAGGTTTAGGGAAATATGCAGTTTTGTTAGCTTAAAAAAAAGGAAAAAAAAAAGATTGTGTTTTGCTTTATATAAAATGTAAATAAAATACAGTAAATTTTTGCAAGGCACTGTGAGCATCTTTTTTTTAAAAGCTGCAGTAAGGAACTTTGACAAAAATATATTTTTTACATAAAAGTTGAAACTGTCACTTTGTTGCGACACAGTAAGACAGACAACTTGTTAAAAAAATAATAAAAAATAAATCAAGCTCCTCTGCCTTCTAACTAGAAACAACCAATCAGAGCCAGGAGGGGGGGGTCTTAGCGCTGTCAATCATGCCTGTGTACCTGCTGATAGACATATATATATATAGATTTTTTTTAAATAAAAGTTACTCGCTGCAGCTTTAACACATGGATGGTCTTTAGATGGTGATTAATTATATCGAAAATATTTCATCTTTTGATCTAATAATACGTTTTGTTCCGAGTGTAAACGTTTTCATTTCTCTTCAAAGATAACCGGCGCTCTGGAGTCTGAGGTTTCCATCTTCTATCTGAGCTCTCGGGCTGTCCATCCCTACAGAGTGTCCACATCTCTGCTCGTCCGGAGCAACTCGTCTCTCTCACTGCACGGCGCCTCGGCAAAGCTGCACCTCCTCCTTAAACACATACCGGAGGTGTCATCTGTAACGGTGCGAGGTGAAGTGACTCGGCGGCACTGATCTCTCTGCGAAGATACTTGAGGCGGTTTCTTTTTCTTTTCTTTTCTTTTCTTTTTTTTTTTTTCCTACAGAGAAATGACATTCTCGCCGAGTTTTGAGAATGATTCATGAGGCAGAGAACACGGTGTTCAGGAAAAAATGACTCAGCCGCACCACGGTTTCCTTTCTCCCACCACTTCTGTTTGAGCGACAGTCTTCTGTGGGATGTTTCCTGCAATAGCGGAAAATAACACCAGAGCGACTGCGTGCGTGCGCACGCACACACACACACACACACACACACACACACACACACACACACACACACACACACACACAAACAAACACGCCCACGCACACACAGCACAGGCACAAGCAAGCGCGCTCTGATATTAATCATAAATCACATTTGCTGCGTTTTCACAAGAAGACATGAAACGGGTCGCCGTCGTGCGTGCACTTTAAGACTCCGTTAAAGATAATGACTTTTCTCCTCTGCACGGCTCGTTTGAAATCACCACTTCAGCTTAATGTAACAATAAGTCTGTATTTTTAGATGCATCAGCATGACTTAGCCTTTGAATTACAGACACAAGGATGACATATGAAGCCGGCCTAAGTCGAACGTTGTGATTAACTCTGATATCTAAATTCTTTGATTTGTCATTTCGCTTTTTAACACTATATTTCTGTATTTCTGAGAGCTTTAAATTCCCCCCCCCCCCCCTCTAACACGTCAGCTCCCTCTCCCCTCGGCAGATGTGGATGAGTGTGTGCACCCTGCTCTCCATCGGTGCTCTCCTCAGGCACACTGTAGCAACACGCTGGGCTCTTACCAGTGCGTCTGCCAACAAGAATATTTGGGCGGTGACCCCAGCGACCCTGGAGTGAACTGTACAAGTAAGACTGTGTGTGTGGAAATGATGTGCAGTAATCATTTATGCTGTGCAAAAATGACTGAAACATATTTTAGAGGGACTGAGGCGGAGGATGCTCGTTTTATGCTGAAATTATTATTTTTTTTTTCACATTTTGTCAGAGGAGGGATAAAATGGGTATGGCTCAAAAACCTATCACGATATAATATCATATCATGTCAGTCCATATTGATAATTATTATTTATTTATTTTATTTTTTTGTATTTCAAATATCTGAAATTCTGCCAAACCGCTCCTGTTTTATCCACAGTTTTCACTCCACTCAGTTGTGTTTTTTTATTTTTTAAGCCGTTTTGAGGCTTCACCGTGGCGAAACCGGAAACCGCTACTCCACAACTTACTCAGCAGGTTGTTGCTAAGTAACCAAACAGTTCAGTGAGTTAGTTGATGTCACCCAACAACTCGCTGTGAGCAGCTGAGCAGTTAAAGCCTTTTCTCTGCCTACATCTCCCAGAATGCTGTGCTGTCCAGTCAATATTCTATAGATTGAATATTGAATATTCTATCCGATCTATTGATATTGATTACATGTCTATTGCAATATATATGTCTGAGCTTGATCTGTTTTGTAATGATGAATTTAAAAAAAAAAAAAAAAATTCTCGTCTCCAGATGTGCAAAGCTGGTCGAGCCATTCCACAAAAGTCTTTCAGTTGGTTGCATTTCCTCAGGGAAGAGTGAAAACAAGTGGATCCAAGACTTTTTCAATTTTTAAACTCTATTATGTTTCTTCCCTGTCGAAACTCGCCATCCTAAAAACGCACAGATCGTTGTGAGTGTATACCTTCGCAGCGTGCTGTACACGCTCGATCTGGGAAATATGAATATATCTTCCACAAAGACTTAGTGGAATCCTGCTGAAAGATATCGAGTTATCTTACAAGTTTAAAACCTATGTTGCGTTTTACTGCAGTCACGTCTGATTGGAGAGGGTTAAACTAGTTTTATTTTACCTGAACTTGTTTTTTTTTTCCCTCTGTAAATAGCCTTCTGTTTGCTCTGTTTTGAAATGACAATATTGTATAAATGTAACAGGGGACTTTCCAGCTTCATACACAGGAAAGTCCCAAACAGTACTCAAAATATTGCATCAGTTAACAGTTTTACTCCAAAGTTTCTGTTTGACACTTACGGCTATTTCACATTTTCATTTTCTCCTGGTTTTTGATAAATACTGATTGGGGGGTGAGCTTGTCAGGCTAAAAGTGTGGACTCGTTGGCAGGAGGCTGGAATAAGAGTCAAATAAAGGAATCTTATTGCAGACTGAGTCATAATCAAATCGCGGGGCTGCGACCTGCAGCTTCAGAGCTGCAGCGGCTCTTAGGGCCGATTGCAGGGGCTCTTATTTGGAACTGAGCAGAGTCTTTTTTGGCGGGGTGAATTTTAATAAAAGCAGATGTGCAGCGGTTTTTCTATGTGGTTTGGTTCTATATCTGCACTGAAACTCCATAACTGACTGCACCTACAATTAAAAATACAGTTCTTGTTTTCTTTTTTTTATTTTTATTGCAATGTTAAGCTAAAACAACAACAAAAAAATCAACCACATTGTTTCCCTTGGATCTTGAATCCGTGGTGGATCTGCATATTTTAGAAGTCAAATTTTTATTGTTAAAATGGAAGCTCAACTCTGGTTCTTTAAAACATTTTATAAGTAATTAAATAAATTATTTTCTAGACAGTTTCAAGGAGAGAAGTTTGCAAGAAACGCTGCTTTCACTAAAATGGCTGCTGAGCCCTTGGTCTAAATAGTCCAACAGAAATCCGGACAGCAGAGCTACAAAATATACAGAGATGTGATCTAAACGTGTAAGAATTAAACTAACTGCCTGCAGCTAATAAGCTAATATGCTTTGGTAGAACCTGATGACGTGCTGTGCAGGTAACCAATTCCTTTCAATTAAACGTGTCGAAACAGGAAAACAACTGAACCGTGCAAGAAAGCACCAGAGCAGAACCAACACCTGGAAATGCTGCTCCATAGACGAGTAGTGAAAGTTGAATACGGAGCAAAGTGGAAACCAGTTTCAAAGTAACAGTTTACAAACGCCCCAAAAACATAATCTGCACTTTCAGCCAAAACTACATGCTGTGATATTCATAAGGTGCATTTATAACTAATGATGTCTCTTTCGTATCTCTCCCACATGCAAAGTAATTCATACCCCACTGCAATTGTTCACCTTTTGTCACACCAGCATTAATGTATCTCAATGGGATTTCATGTGACAGACTAACAGGCTGTAGTGCATAATCATGATGTAGAAGGGAAATAAATCCAGATAAGAATCTGAAAGATGCAGCATTCATTTTTGATATCGTTACGTTATTCTGATACCCCTAAATACAATCCGTCAAACTTACTAAATGTAATACATTTACTTGGATAAACTTCATTTGATTACTTGTACCAAATTAAATATTTTCTTCTAAGTTGGATCATCTGTTTTGTTTTTTCACTGTGATAAGATTTGAGGGATGTGGCTAAATGCTGGGCAGTCCTGGAAAAAAGCCTTTTAGAGGCCGTAAAGGACTAAGACCAGGGCAGAATGTCACCTTCCAGCAGGATGACCATCCAAAACATACAAACAGAGCAGCAGAGTGGCCTAGATGAAAGCATGTTCATGAGTTAGAAGGGGCCTAGTCAAAGTCCAGATCTAAATCTAACAGAGAATCAAGACTTTAAAATAACTTTTTGTAGATTCTGTTGGCTATCACAAAGCTAAGTGGGAAATAATGTCAATCTGTAGCTGTTCAGAGCTGGTACACTGAAAAAATGTTTCTTTAAACCAACTTAAAAAGATACTCTAATATGCCACAGCTAATTTTATTCAACTTGCTGAAGCTATAATTCTCCTTTGAATGATTATGAAATCAATTGTAGCTTGAGCAAAAACTGATAAAATTAGCCGAGTATGTTTTAAAGTTGGTTCAAAGAAACATTTTTTTTTGTCTTCAGTGTAGAGGCCTGCAGCTGTAACAGCAACAAAAGTTGCTTCTATAAAGTTTTGACTTTGAAGGGCCGAACACAAATGTACACCACCATCCTTCTCAGATTTTCATTTGGAAACCAAAAAAAAAAAAAAAGTTGCAATCAATGCAGTATTTTTTCCCCCTCATCAAAGTTATGCACTATCCAATAAAATACAAGTTAAACTCAAGTTTTTGACAGCAATTATGAAAAAGTACAAGGGATATGAATACTTTTGCAAGGTTACGAATGTAGGGAACAACTCCAGACGTAAAATAGAAAGAAAAACAAAGATTAAAAGCTCATCCCTAGCAGTGACAGCAAAACAGCAGCAAAGACTAATGGAAAATACTTCAGCGCAAATCAAATAAAACACATCAACAACATGCTATGCTAGCGTGTGCCGCTACAAAAATACATCACGGCATGAGACAAAGTAAACACGCCGAAAATTGTCCAGATTTCTAATACTTTCACCGTGACCTCTTCTGTGTTTCTCTGTTGTGAGTCATCTTTGAAACAACAACAGCAGAAAATAAATAAATGCACGAAGGCACATCAACGCCCACGCAAGGTTTTCTTCAGAAGCTTCTATTCAACACGCTCTTGTTATTTTTATTTATTTTTATTTTATTTTTTTTTTTTTGCTCCCAGGCGGCACCGGGCTGCGGACCACCGCCGTGCCCCCAGTGGTGAACGCAACCTTTTCCTGGACGCTCGGCTGCACACAGGACTCTTCGGGCGACGGCTCCGTCCCGCTCGGGACCGGCGTGACTCCAGCTCTGACTAACACGAGTCCCGTCACTTACAATTCGCCACACGCCTCGCTGGGGAGAAGCTCAGCGCCGGCTGCCAGCATGAGCCAGGCCGCTGCCTCACCTCTGCCAGCGGCTCCGTGTCGTAAGAAACCCTGACCTTTCGTCCCGAGTCGCTTCAGAAAACTAGAACCCAAGAGACAAGTTAGCATCTGCTAACTAGCAATGAAAATACATTTATTTGGCGTCTTTAAATGACTTAAAATACATTGTTGTATATTGCTGTTTACAAAAAGAAAGAGAATGCCATGTCACAGCGAAACGTAGTGGTGGGTTCTCATTCGTGGAACTGGGGTTTTTGTTCATTTAGACAAAAATAATAATAATCACTGTAAAAGTCAGTTCTGACCCAAACCTGAAGATGAAGATCAGGGACTAATTCTTTTTTTAAAAAATCATACTGAAGGCCAAATATGCATCTAAATCCACAAAGGAATAATTATTCAGAAGTTTTTATATAGCTGAGGCAGAGTTCAAAACTGAATCTGACAGAAACATTTATCTGAGGAGGGCTGTCTGGGTTTGTGTTTTCGATCATTTCCTCGTTCATCCATGTTCTAAATGTTTTGCCATATTCAGTAAATTTCTGTGTTCATTATTGTTAGTTTATTCCTGTGCTCTGTTCTTTGTGCTTTTGGATTTTGCATTGGATTAGTGTTTTCCTCTTAATCTGTGGTTCCTTTTTGAATGCAGTTCAGTTTCCTTTGTGATAGTTCTCCTTCAGTCTCTCTGCTTTCTCCCTTTCACTGCTGTAAATTCACCTGGTTTCTTTCTCAATTTCCACTTGTGCCTCAATATTTAACCTCCCATCTTTTTTTTTGTTGTTCTTGGCTGGATTCTCTGTTTCTCATTCTCTGGCTCTGTGTCTTGTTCCCATCGTTCCAGTATTGTCTGTTTTGTTTTGTTTTGTTTTTTGATTAACCAAAAAACTAACCATGACAGACTGTGGACAAGAGACGTCCGTGTAATCTGGTATATTTGGAAGTCATTCTGACGGTATAGTGGCCAAATAATATCAAGTCGAGATGTGCCATGCTCATCAACTCTTTCCAAAGAAGACCGAATGCCGACACTGAATCAGAAGGTGCTCTAGCAAATTAGTTTGAGGGTGGTGCGGATTTTCTTCATTTGTAGAGACTTGCTTTTAATCTGAATTGTTCACCATGAATATCACATGTTGATGTCACAAAAATGTTTGCGTGTAGATTTTTTACAAAGTTTCTGCATATTAATCATTAGTCATCTTAGAAATGGAAGATCTTATGCACACATATCCCACAATGCAGTGCAGACGCAAGTAAGTTATACTAGTACTGGCCTAGTAATAAGTAAATCGAGTTTTGATTGGCTTACTTCATACCACCATTTAAAAAAACATTCTGACACTTTTCAACTCTGCAGCTCACATAACGCTGGTAAAAAAAGAAGCACTTTACCATTTTAAAATGGCTTCCAACAAGTGACAACCGCAGTGAACGAGAGAACGTGTTAGAATATTACATGGATCTTTAATTCAGCCTATAACTGGGTATAAGTTATGCAAGCTGAGATATGCAGTGGGCCTTTTTTTCCTTTTTTTTCTAAAAGTAAAATCTTACACAATCACAACACAGCTTTGTGGTTAATTTGAAGATGGAAAGACAAGAGACCTCTAAGGCAAACTGGTTCAGCCAGTACATCTGGTTACCAGCGGTTACAGTGAAGAAGATATTTCTTTTTAGCTGGTGACGCTATCTAGGGGTTGTGAGAATGTGGTTTAGAGGTTTTAATTCTAGGTCTATTGACAGATCTATTATTACCCTGACAAGGTGCCACACTATTGAGTGTGTGCCTTATGTTTCAGTGGTATGTGAAGATGTGTGACTAAGTAAATAATGCTCCATCTTTGTATTTCCATGTATTGCATGGCTGCAAAGTCTTAACCTAGCAAATGTCCTGGGTAATAATGCCAATTCATGTTATGCGATGCTAAGTGAATGCCCTTTCTGCACTTAGGAAGGTTCACTCACCTCAGCATTCTAAGTGCTTGGAAATTCTGAGATGGAGTGAATTTGGACTTATTTTCTGCATACTTCCACCTGTTTATTTGAGTGTTTATGAGCTTTCCTAAAATGTGTTCAGGTCATTGAACTTGCATGGATGATTATTGTGGCGTCACAGTTGAAGTATCTGTATCTTTGCACTGCAGCATAATCTAAGTTTCACATAATTCATCCCAATATACATGCCCTATGCAAAAATGTAGCTGCATTACAAGCCACATAGGAGTTTATGTTTTTTAAAATAATAATTTCTTTATGGCTGGACCCTCGCAAAGGAAGCCTTTGGATACATCAACATGAGTGGGAACATAAGTAACGATGTCACAGCAGGTTTACGCTTTATGGATGAGTAAAGTAAGTTTTTACATCAGCTACAATAACCTGTTAGTCCGAATCATGTGTCCAATGGAGTTTGGTGTAATCTTATGCCAACATTATTGCTTGTATTCTTCCCCTTTGTTGACACTGATATACCAAAACATTTTGATGGAAAAGGACACAGGAACGCAATTCACCAATCAGATGAAATGAGAAACAGCTGTGGCAGGGAGAAAGGAGTACATTTGGGAGAAAGAGACTAAATAGGACGCTGAAATAAGTCTCAAAAGAAACTACAAACACAGTTACTAATGGCAATAACAACTGAATATGGCGATACATTTTGAATAAACCCAGAAATGACTGGAGAGGAGCACATAAGAGCAACCAAAACATAAATACTACTTCTAAAAGGGCAGTGCTGATAACTACTGTATATGAGAAACCGATATCTGGAAATGATGTCAATGCAAACGGGGTTGGGTTTATTATTCTGACATCAACTGAAATAAATCTACTCAAGTGCTTAACTTAGACTGTAAAAACAAACCTGTGATGCTATGCAAAAGCAAAAATAAAAAATAAATAACTACAGGAGTTTATTTTAACAACGTGTCATGACAAAGTTCACTACTCTGTCATTAAACACCCTACCAGGACCTCCTGGAATCAGTGGCTTGTGGTCTGCTAATGTCACTGGAACATCCATGATTGTCCAATGGTCAACCGAGGTTCAAAGCAACCAGACTTTCCGGATCACTCTGAGCAGGACATCGGAGGTCACTGAGCGCTGGGAAACCAGCAGGACGACGATAGAGCTGAATGGACTTCAGCCTGGGGTGCTCTACAATGTCACTGTAACACCTGGTGCTTGTGGAAGGCAAGGATCTGCTCTTCACATGATGGTCAAAACGGGTAAGAATGGAATATTGCAGTGCTTTAATACAAAGTCATTTTTTGCTTACCGAAACCCACTGGAGACTTCGGTCCATTCATTCAAAGTAATAATTGTCGTCTCGGGCTCAAGTGTTAAATTATTATTGTGTGAATATAAGTAGCGGCATGAAACTTTAAGAATTGTTCAACCTATCACGATGTTGCTTTTGGGAAAATTGAGTACATCACTAGTTCGCCTTCATGTCCTACATAAAGTTTGGATGGGTTTTTTTTTTTTTTTTACCTGAAGGCCTGGGGTTAGATTGAAAAGATTGTTTACGTTGCCAAACAAGGTTTTTCTTCACAGACGCTCAGACTCTTGATGCAACAACACGACTCACAAACATCGAGTTCAACGAAGACCTGAGAAACAGCAGCAGCCAGGCCTACAAAAACCTCACCGAGACTTTTACACAGGAGGTGGGTGCGTTAACAGAAGAACACCACGACAAAATGCCATCTTCGAATATAAATATGTTTTACATGCGTACCAGATTTGCACATTGCAAATGTGGGCAAAACTTTTCTGCTATTATGCTTATGTAACTCGGCTTTGTTGCGTACAGGTACGGCTCTTGCTTGTCTTTGAAGGTGTTCGTTTTTGGAGCAGGTTACTGGAGGCAAAGAACAATTCAGACTTGCTGATTATTAAGATTTTGGGTTTTTACAAACCACACCCACATCTTATTTCTTGTTGCTACAACACAGGTCAGGTATGCACAAACACGATCACCAGTTCAGGTACTTATTACGAGACATTTGGCTCAATGAAAGTTTTCATGAATGAGAATATTTGTCTCATTTTGTGATCTCATCAAAGCAATCGCAACAGATAAAGGTGTTTGTTTTACTGGCATAACTGGCTGGTTGGTTGCCAGCCACTGAGCTCAATATATTATTCATTTGCTCAATTAAGCATTCTTGTTCCGAGATTTTGCTGAAAAGTACTTACTATGAAGCATCGTCTTTGAAATGCAAACCTTTCACCAACAGATCTACAAATCTCTGCCTCCAGAGATCAAAGCTATGGTGGATTCAGGCCAGGTGAGGATCGAGATCCAAAGCTTTTACCTGGGCAGCGTGGTGGTGGACTTCTCCATCATCTTCAACCCGAGTCCAGGACGAGCCGTGGGTAATGTGTCCTCAGCGCTGGTGCAGTCCCTGATGAACAGCTCCAAATTCACCGTGGATGGAAACAGCACAAGCATCAACGGTATATCTTACTTTGCAGTGCTACCTTAAACAGACTCAATTACACACAAATGGATGTTTGAAATCCTTTATTTCCACTAATTATGGCGATTTTACACTTAGTCGATGAAAATATGGCATTAGAAATTTGATTTTACGTCAGACCAATAGAAATGTACGTATACAGGAATGTGAGCTTAATGAAAGGCTAAAGGTGATTTTCAACAGCTACTTTTAGTCTCACTTGAACGCATATTCTAATTTATTGAATATGACTGTAGTTGGACTGACATTTGGGAGGAGCAGGAGTTAGGGTCAGCATGAGATGGAGAACATGAGATGTGGAAACCTGCTATGAGAGCAATAGGAAACTATTTTAGCACATATAAATCATGTACATTAGATCAGCAGCATCTCCTTATCTCCTACAACTAGATATTTATTTTAATTCATGCATAATTTCATTGATGGGAAAAAGGTGATACTTGATGCGTCTACAGTGTCGTCTGCATAAAAATGACAGGTCCTGAGTGACTCTTTTTTTTTTTTAACAGATTTTGACGAATGCGCCTCAGGAGAAAATGATTGTTCTCAGCGGGCTACGTGCACAAACACATGGGCCTCCTACACTTGCATCTGCCTTGACGGATTCATAGACAACAACCCAGAAAGACCTGGACGCAACTGTCAAGGTAGAGCATTAGTGGGAAAGTTAATGCATATTGTTTACTGATATTTATGTGGATATCTTTATTTTTTCCTCATGAACGCATCATGTCCTGTGCAGCGAATGGTACCGTGGACACATCAGCACCAGAAGTTTCTACAATAAGTCCTACTCCACCTGTCCCAACTTTCGATCAAACTAACAATCCTATAATGGGAACCAGTGCAAACGGTCCTCACTTTAGATTTGGTATCCCTACAGCTACGGCTAATAATAATAATATCCCACCGACTACCGCTACTTCAGCAACACTCTACATTGCCCCTGTAATTACCGGTAGTACTCAAACAAGCAATAATTCACCAACAGTGGTCATTAATGCTCCGACAAGCCGCTCTGCAGCTCTGGCCAACACCTTAAGAACTACTTCCATCCCAGCGATCCTTCCTACTAATCTGATAACGACTGCTGCTCCCAGAACAACAACCATTACTGTCTCTGAGATCAATACTACACACTCAACAACTTCTTCTAGCCAAGTAGCGCCTTCTGTTGTTCCAACAACAATCACTACCCCAAGGATCACTTCTACAACCCCATCTTCTGCTCTAAGATCAGCCACCAATTCCTCTTTGTCAGGAGCCCTTTCGGTCCACTGCAGAGTGGCTGCCATTACTGTCACTCTTGCGAAAGCTTTTCTGGCGAGTGCAAAAATCCCAGAGGGTGCTCTGTACTTGGGCATGCCGGAGTGTGGAGTCAATGGAGGCAATGCCTCCCACGTTCAGATGACCGTGGCGTGGAACGAGTGCGGCACCAGGCTCGTGCATGTAAGTCTCAGCGACCTGAACACTTGGCCAGCGATGGTCATTTTCATTGTTCTCATAAACCAGAATGCACGAACTCTAAGGACATCCCTTCTGTTGTCTTTAATTTTCCTTCCAGAATGAAACTACGTACACAGCATCTGTGAAGTTGTTCAACAGCATGGATCCGTACACAGCCGAAGGTGGCGCAGTAGAGGTTCCAAGAATCAGGCTGGAAGTCCCCATCATGTGTACCTACTTGACGAGCATGTTGATTTCTGCAGACTTTGGCTCCATGGGGTATGATTGATATTAAAGTCATGCTTGCTTTACTAAAACTACAATTCATTGTAAAGCGTCAATAAAATGAGCCAACAGTTCTTGACAGATTAAGGGGGGAAACAGTGACTCATGAAATAATTTAGATTAAATATATAAAATAACATCTTGTACCATCAATGATATTGTAGCATTGCTGATGATGTTCAGTGACCTCTTGTGAAGGAGCTCTGAAACATCCTGGAGAGAGAGTACTAATGATCCAGTTAGCTGTCCTCACTGTCTGTAGGGCCTTCTCGTCTGCTACATTGTAGTTGGAGTACCAGCCCAAGATACAATATGTCAACACATTCAACCCCAGCTGTAGTTGAGAAGGTAGTGATGGGAAATAATGTTTCAGTTTCCTCAGAATGTCTAGTCTCCGCTGGGTGTATTTCATAAACACAGTGGTGAGGTAATGTGATCTGAACCCAGAGGAATTTAAGTGCAAGGCACCATCTTCTCTACATGTGTGCTAAGGAGTGGATGCATTGATGATCATCATTTCTGTGTTGTACACATTGACCACATTATCTGCACTAGTCCTGTAGGTGTCTAATGTATTCTCTATACAGTGATTATTCAAAAGTACCAAATGGAAATTAAATGAAGAATACCCAATACTTTGATAACATCTGTACAATTTTGTGATCAGATTTTTCCTCAGTGTGAAAAGCAAGGGACTGAGCACACAGCCCTGAGGAGTCCCATCATGTAGCTGGATAGAGTTGGAGATCATATTTCAGATACTGACAGACTGGAATCTCTCAGTAAGGAAGTTCAGGATCCAGTGACAGTGTTGGTGATCATGCGTCCATTAGTTGGAGGGGAATGGTGGTACTTGCTTTCAAGCTAGCTAAAATCACAAATATGGCAAAAGTTTCTGTTGTCTTAGTAAGTATGGGATATGTATATTTCCTCTTGACACCACTGGTGTGATAGATAGTAATACATAGCAAGTCTTTTTAGTCTAAGAGACAACTTCACTGCTTGTCGATATGAAATATATGCATTCATGTTCATAAATGAGAATTTTAAGACGTTTATTTGAAGAACTAAGTTCACAAAGTGAAACAAATTAATTTCACACATGATGTTTTCAAGCATTTATTTCTGTTAATCATAATTTTCTGCTTACAGCTAAAGAAAACACCATTTAAAATGAGAATATTACATCTGATTAATAATGCAATACATTAATGTGGACTTAATGAAAAGCATATTTAATATCTGCTTACATTTGATTTTCACAGGATATTTTAAATCTGACAAACAAGCCTCATCAGAACACATTATGACTTATTGAATATGACTGTTTATATAAAGATGTACATCTTTTCAAGAGTGCATAAAATATTTCATTTGAACAGTTTTATAAACTGTAATTTAATGCAATATTTGCACTGTTGCCAAAGAACTACTTGGAAGAATTAAAAAGATGTTTATTATGAAAAAAATAAATAAAAGACTGCTCTTGCCTGAAAGTCTCAACCATGAAAGGTGTGAGATTTAGGCCGTCTGGGTCTGTAGGTCATGTTTAACAATATTGCCAACAGCGCCCTCTTCAGGTTCAATGTCTTATTTGAAAATTTGCTCAAAAGTGGTTAGTGGCTTTTAATTTAATTGCAAAAAAGTGTTGTTTTTTTTTATTTTAACAAATGGAAAACAAATATATTTATCACTACTCAGATAATAGAGGAGTGTGTGTTAAACTTATTCCTCCAGTTTGCAGATTTTGTGTTCAACTTATCTTCCTAGCTCTAAATATGCGCAGACTTATTTCATTTCTCCTTTGACAAACAACAGCATCAAGTCGTCTCTCAAAAGTGTTAAACTCTTTGTGAAATAACTGCTTGCAGTAAGAAGTGAAATCATTCCAGCTGCGTCTCCCGTTCGTCTCCAGGTACAACATGATCAAAGATGTGATCACGGGTCTGGGGTCGTTCCAGGTGATGGTGCAGCTGATGAACGGCACCGCGCCGTTGCCCCACAACTACAGCCTGTCCCCGGAGCAGGCCGTGGTGATGGAGGTCAGCCTGAACAGCACCTCGGAACAAATGAAAGTGGTCATCAGCAAATGCTGGGCCACTCCCACCCAGAACCCGGCCGACCCCTACAGCTACGCCTTCCTGGAGAACAGGTCTGCTGCTGCACAATCACTGCTCCATCCACGTGTTGGAGAGCATCTAATTGTTCCGTATCTTTAAGTACTAATGCTACCTTTACTTACCTCTATTATTACAGCTCATGGTCTATGTAGATGTCATTTTATTCAAATACATAAGTTAGATTTTACTTAAGGTTTTGGTAATTATATCCAAAAGCAAATTATTTTTTTTTGTATAACTCTAATAATTTGCCAAAAAAAAAAAAGAAAAAAAAAAGAAAAAGCAACTATTAGGCAAACTCCTACTTGTTGCATGTCCACAATGTTGTGTTTTCAAATTGCTTAATGTATGGGGCAGTTCCATTATATCCATTTTACCCCATTGACAGTTAAAACAAAATAGAAAATTGGCCTCAACTCCCTAAATTTCACGAATTTGATATTAAATGCAAAATTAACAAAATGTTGGCATTTGCGGCCGAAAACTGTCCATCACATACCATGGCAGTTCTAGTTTTTAATTGCACACTGGGTGAGACTATTCTTCTGCCACCCCACACACAACCAATCACACTGCCACTCGTCAATAAAGTCCATTCTGCAAAGAGAAGAAAACAAATTTTTAAAAAAATCACAAAAGAACTAAGATTTTAAAACATTTTCTTATTTTATAAAAAGAGGCTTTTTTATAAAAGCTTACTTTTTCCAAGAATCACTGATCAGTGTTACGGTGCTCGCTCAGCTTATGCATCATTTACCCAGGGACTGTGTGGGTAAACGAGCAACGAGCAACAGAACTGACAGCCTAGTTTTTTAATGAGTGCTCATGTTGCAAGGTAAACTAAACCATATAGTCCAGATCAAATATCCCAGTGAAAATCATTCCTGTGCAGCCAAAGTTCATGGGTCTCCTTGCCCTGCGTCTCCACAGCTGTCCTCTGAACGCTTACACCAAAGTGCTGACGAACGGCAACTCCACCACCTCCCGGGTGTCCGTGCAGATCTTCTCCTTCGTTAACCTGAACGTGATCTACCTGCACTGCCAGGTCCAGATCTGCGTCCAGGTTGGATCCGATACCTGCGTTCCAGTGAGTGCCGCCTATTGATTTGCTTTCATAAGATACAGTCTTCTGGGCCCCAACATGATACTAATCACTGCTGGCTTGGACTGAAGCGTGCCACGCAGCAGAATATGGGGTATTCAAAGGCCACGCCGTAATCTCATGCTTTCTTGTAGGAATGTTCACAAAGAACAGCTCGGACTGGAAACACGATTGGAACAAGTGTTGGATCATCTGGGCCTATACTTAGATTAAGTGAAGGTGAATACTTTTATATTTAATGAAACAATGTTGGTACGTTAAACAGCCACCATATATTGTTACCTCTTATACAGCTGCGCAGAAAAGCTTCATATAAATTTGTCTTCTCTGACTGTAGAATAATCTACTTGTCGTTCAACATGCTGAGAGTAATTTTTCAGTGTGAAATCATACTGCTAGCTCCCTTTTCTACAACTAAACGGTGTATTTGGCCCCTCTAATATATAGAAAAAAGTAGTAAATATTTGCCACAAAACTCAGAATTTTTAAAATTAACCTAAAAAATTTTCTAGAAAAAAAAAACTGGAACATTACTGAGCACCTAAAGTCAAAAGACTGTGAGAAGAAATAAAANAAACCTGGACATTTCTGAGTTTTAAAAGTAAAAAAAAAAAAAGACTTTTGAAACAGTAATTTTACATTTTTGTACTAGAAAATTTCTGAAATTAATTGAAAAAAATTTGGGCGAAAATTTACTCCTTTTTTCTCTCTATGATGGCCCTAAAACACCGGCGTACCTTCCATTGAATCGTGTCGATGTAAACATTATTCCAGAGTCCCTGGAGGAGAAGCTCAACACCATCCACATCGTCGGCCTCTCCTGTCTTGGAGTCGGCGTGTGTCTCTGCTTCATCGTGGGATTCGTCTGCCTGTTTTACTGTCAGAGGAACCGCATCGGACACTACAACTTCAACGCCAAACCCAAAGAGGAAAACTTCACCTACCTTGTTTTTAACACTTAGCATGGGAGTCCAGCTCCAGTCCTCAAGAACCACGGTCCTCCCGGTTTTAGTTCCACAGAATCCCGCTAATTAATCACCATTAGCTTCAGGTGTGTTGAGCCAGTATAATAGCTGAAACACGCAGGATACCGGCGCTTGTAAACTGACTTTGAACGCCACTGGAGAAGCAGCAGAAAAACACGCGTAGCATTTACAGAAACCTGCCGCTAGGGGTCAGTGTTGGTATTTATGTCTGAGCTCACTTTGCATTGGAACCTATTTTTAGTCACCTTCGCCGGACTAAATATATTCAAGCTAGGACAAGAAATTATGTTTGAAATATTGATTATTTAAAAATAGAAACTGTGATTGAATTTGAAAAATATTTAAATCCAGCCTATGACTTTATTAAAGTTAATTTTTGTCCTAAACAGGATTGGAATCAAGACTGAAAAATTATCGGCATAGAAAATATAACGCTGCATGCTTGTTAATTAAATATGAGCGCTTCTAATTAAATTATATTCTTTACCGAATCTGCTACATTCATATTCAACTATGCTAATGACATAAAAAGAAACTTGCAAAAAAAAATATATATATATTAATATTAACCTATGCTTCTCGAGGTGTTGCAATAAAATCAAATCATTCTGCACGTCCGATTAATTGGTCACGTGAACTTTGTAGTTCCTACATCTCGGTTAATCGGATCATTTGCCGAGAAGAGATGTCAAGCAGAGATTATGAGGAAGACCCAGCGTCTCTCCAGGCACACTTCCCATAATCCCTCATTGTTGACTGCCAGGTCATAAATGCGGCTCCTGGATCGACGGTTGATGGGCTGAATACTAAATAATAGAGGCTTTCTCCGTGAAGGGGAGGCCCCTGGAGAAGGACTTTTTTTTTCTTTTTTACCATCTGGAGGACTGCAAATGCCCCACCTCCACATTAACCCATTCAGCCTTCCTCTCAAAAACCTGGCAACCAATCTCCATGGCAACAACTCAGAACAGGGAAAGAGGGAGACGGCCTTAACCAGTAGATGTAGGCTGAAGAGCAGGGAATGAGTGCCGAAAATTGGCGGAAATGTGCCTTTATTGCTCGTTATGTTTAAATGTGCTGCAGATTCCCTTTTCTTTCTTCATGTCTGTGGCTTGGATACGCTTCAGGGATTTTGAAAACAGCAAATATTTAATATTTAAATTATTTATAATCCTCATACACCAAAGAGGACAATCAGAAATCCCCATGTGGAAGACGGAAAACAGCTGTCCTGGGAGGATTCGCTGCGTTTCTCCGTGCGGCCCTTGGGAACAGCAGGGTGCGCTGAAGGAACAAGGCTAATTCTGTATGTAGTGAAAGGCAGCTTGCTCTGTAAGAGCTGCAACATGACCCAGTTCTGCGCTCTTCTTCCTGTTTTCCTGCCTCCCCGCCTCCAGTCTGCCTCTATACATCCAGTGTAGTGTCAGAGACACATTCATCAGGTTTTCATTGAGCGTGGCTGTATATGCGCCTGCATGGGGATTTTCTCTCATACAGGCCATTTCTTTTTAAACATCTCCTCTGTGGTTTTATTGACCTGCTCGGCCACAGAGCTGCAGGGACTTAAAGTTACAGGCCAGATATTTTTCCCTCTAAAATCCACCTGATACTTTAGAAAGATTTTCCCACCTATACAACATATTCCATGATCATTTTTTATGTTTTATTTGCTGTTCTTATCAAAATCTATACTAAAGACAAGCTTCCATGGGCACATATCTCTGGTGACACCACAAATAATTTTTCTTGATGTTTTGTGCCCTTTATTTACACTTCTAATTAATCTCTTGCTTCAAAGCTGTTTATTATTATACTGTAACGGTGGAAGTTGTTTTCCTCCTCAAAACTCATCAACAGGCACAGAGATTTACAATCAGCCAAATCCTACCAATTAGCGCCACCGTGCCTGAACTCGCGGTACAGTCTATGCCTTCACCTTGATTCCAGTCAACACCAGAGAGAAGAAGTAATAAAAACTGCAACGGACTGGGAGTCAGAAAGACAGAAATGCTTCAGGTAAGCTAAAGTGGCATGGGTAAGCTAGAGCAGTATAGGTAAGCTAACGTAGTATCGGTAAGCTAACGTAGCATAAGTAAGCTAATGTAGCATAGGTAAGCTAAAGTAGTATGGGTAAGCTGAAGCAGCATCGGTAAGCTAAAGTAGCATAAGTAAGCTAAAGTAGCATAGGTAAGCTAAAGAAGTATAGGTTAAGCTAAAGTAGCATGGATAAGCTAAAGTAGCATGGATTCAGACTGAGTGTGAAACAAGTGGAGGCAAATCACTCATCTGCTTAACTTGATAAAATCAGAATACAGCTTAGCATTTTAAACAGAACATTAACCAAATTCATATCAGTTCAAGTTGTAAAAATCGTCATCACCCACCATTTGTTTCGGCTTCACCATCTTATCTTAGCTTTGGGTTCCCTCAAGTCACCTATTCACACCAGGTTGAAATCTTTACAACTCAACTCCAACTCAAAGGCTTCAGTGTAAATCTGTCAGGAGTCACTTATCTGCAGCAATTTTTACTAAAATGATCTAATCCGCCTGATTCCAGTGTATCTCCTGATGCCATGAACTCAAATGCAAATAAAACAGAACATTATATTACTTTCTAACATAAGATATTGAATATTAATATATTAAATATACTATAAAGATATAAATATTCCTCTGAATCCTTACTGCCAATGTAAGAAATATATTGTATAATCTAAAGGCCAGAGATGCTGCTTTGTTTAATTTAATTTAATAAATGCTAAGCGATAAATATGCTTTCAATGTAGCAACATGTCAAGGCTGTAAACTTTGTGCCAAATATGGATTTCTGCCTCACTTCCAGGTTTCAGAGCTTTTTCTAGGCACTGAAACAAATCAAAGAGAATTTAACTGCGATAGCGACATTAACTTTAAATTAAACAAAAAATGATGAAACCCTAAACTGGCATTGCATTGAAGCATAAGTGCTGTACCTATGTATGTGTGTGTGTGTGTTTTATTAAACAGAAAAATCAAAGAAAATGCTGCAGATTGATGCATTTCAAATAAAGACTGAGCTCGTAGTCTTCATGTTGTGGAGTCATAACAATAGCAACAACGTGGCAATTTCAAACCTTAGCTTTGGGGTTATGAATTATAAATGAGCGTCTCATCATGAAGATGGCTGACTGGCTGATTGAGACTGACACATGGAGCTCCACCCCGTCCCCAAGTGTTCATCAGAGACAAGAGCACAACACAGACCGACCCAGACAGGGAGCTCAGCTTCGCTGTGTGTGCATACACTGGGTCAGCCTGTGACCTTGCAGGATATTCTAAATGGGTCAGAAGCACCGTGAAGAAAGTCAGGTTGACTTCTGATTCAGAGATGCACCTCGGGTTTTGGCAGCGGTAATTAATGTTTTCCTCCCAGATTAAATGCACTGAGCAGTTTATGTAAAAGTGTCCCCAAGCCAGAGGTGATATTCATGTTATTCCTTGCATCACCGTGACTTCTGCTGTCCAATCACCTGTTCCCATTCTGCATGCTGATTAATGCACTGACACCCCTCAGGATTCAGTCTGTCCTCGTTCTGTTCTGCAAAACGAACCTCTAAGTGAAACATGCAGGAAAATCATGTCTTAAACAGGATATGAAGGGGAAATAAAAGTATGAGAGAGAAAAACGTCACTTTGTAAAAATCTATGCATATAAGAACATGGAAAATTAAAAAGAAGACGAGGTCTGACTTTTGCAGGCTCTCTGTCAGCTTATTCACTACAACGAAAAACTTTGATGTTTTGAAAAAGCCATTAAAATCTCTACCGTGGCTGTAAGCCGTTCCCTCTGTGACGCTTTTCCTGTTCTCAGCCTCAAAACAATAATAATAATGACAAAGAAAAGAACAACAGCCTCACTACAGTAAGGCAAGTTTTACTGATTTATTCCGACTAAAAGTGATCGATGTGTGGTACAGTTTTTCTTATTTTTTATTGTGGGATTATTAAGCACTTCTCGGTGTGACGTGACTACTAACAATGGTGACGTGTGCTCTTCAGACAGGATGGACGAGACCAGAAAATGATGTAGCACCTTGTGTCGTAATGCCACGGGGGGGTCAACAGGGCCGAGGACGTCGGATCCGGAGGCCGCGGTCGAACATGCGCCAACGCTTCTCCAACGACCCGCTTATCCTCCTGGAGGGTGGAGAGTTTTTCTTCTTTCTTTTGTGACTCCTGTTGTTGGGTTTGCCTCCTGAACTAATCCAACTTCAAACTCTAGATATATACACAGCAGAGCGACGCTGCAGTCCGCCTCTGTCCGCGGGAGCCGAACTACTCGGTCTGGGTCACGTCTAGGGCAAAGCGAACGCCGCCGCTGCTCCTCCGAGGCTCGCCTCCCTCCAGCAGTGGCTGTGTTCCTCCTCCAGCAGCACCCTGGGAATGATGATGACTGGGTCGGAGAACCTCGTCTTTAGAATCTCTAGGAGGCAGCAGATTTTTTTTTTTTTTTTTTTTAAGATACCAGACAGAGACAAAAAGAGACAGAGGATAAGGGATTTACGTTGGACAAAAACACAAAGTCGTCGTGTTGAGCTAAGCACCCTGAGACCGCTCATTACTGGGGAATAAAGCTAACAATGGGCTTTTTTTTTAATAATACAAATGTTAAAAAAAAACATCTCAATTTATTCCTTTAAAAACTGACAGATACTCAGATTTCAATCTGCTGTTTCATCCAATCGCTTTCCAAGCTGTCATTTGAGGAATGAGGGTCTCACGGTAGCTAAAAAAAAAAAAAAAATGCAGTGCGACAATGAAAAAAAACAAAACAAGAAAAAGAAAATCTCACTTAAAACAAATCAGAAGGAACAATTAGATCGTTAGCATGCACTTACAATTTCCTCTGACATGTGTCTTTCCGAGGAGGCGCTGCTTCCCTCATTCCATTCACACTCACCCCCCATCTTATTTCCATGCTCAGACAGAGGTCAAGGCCTAGGCCTCTACGTGGGAGTGAAACTCAGATTGCAGGTCCAACAGAAAACAGTGGCGGCATGCGTCAGAAAACACATTCGAATGCAAACGAGGGTAAAAGTGCAGAAGAAAAATGAAACTTTCACTTTTTGGCCTAACGGTAGAGAGAGAGAGAGTTCATCATGTGAGCAGAGCACATGAGAGACCCGCCTCATGCAATACCTTGCAAACGTGTTGACACCCGCATTGGCTGGTTGACACTCTGTCATGTTTCAAACTTCATGTTTGTTTTTTTATTTATTTATTTTTTATCAGGATTCTGTGTGCAACACCAAAACTGAAGTTGTGCGTAAAGCGGATGGGAAATGATACACGGTTTACACAGATTTTTATTCTAGCGCTCGTTTTCAAGATAGCTCAAGATCAGCTACATTCGACAGAGAGCAACTATCTGCGACTGCCAAATTATAAATAATATTAATAAAGAAATGTAGCTTTGGACTTTGACTAAGTCAGTTTAAGTCGCGAATATGCTTTAAACCAAGGGTGCTCAAGAAATAAATTAGGACTAAACTTTGGCTTTTAAGTTGAAATCTACTTAGAAAACTTTTAGACGGTCTTGCCCAACCTTTCTGGTTTTCTTCTGTTGTCATGGTAACCACTACTACTGCTAATCGACCTATGCTCTAAACAGTACACCTCTGTTCACCCAAATCTGTTTCTTACTGCTATATTAAAACTTGACTAAATACAGCCAGTGTTTTCAAATGAAGACTGACCTAAATCTTGTTTTAATTGCTGAGAAGAGACAAAATATTTCTTCAATTGAGTCAAAAAAAATAAAAATAAAAAAACTCCCCGGTTTTAAGCTAACTCAGTCTATTGTAACTCACGCTGTGTGTCGGGCTTGTTGCTGTTGTTTGGTCTCTAATGTTTTCTGAGGAATGTCTGATTTAAAGACGTTAAACACGTTTAATGTAAATTCAGTGTTTATCTGCAGAAGTTACTTTCACATCGTTAAATTAAGGGAAGATCATCACTTATACTGATTTCAAATTATCCACTCTTTACTCATTTGGTGACTTCTGAAGTCACTTAGTACTACTGGATCTTATTTAGGGTCATCGGATAAAAAAAAAGCACACCACACTTTTCAGATAAGTTGAAAACCGTGTCACATTTCCCACTTCACAGCCACTTGCCACTTGGTGTTGGTTTATTGCAAAGAATCCCAATAAAATGCACTGAAGTTTGCGGGCCGTGGGGACAGAGTTACTTTCGCAAGGCACTACATGAGCGGGCTGCTTCTTCAAATGAAACAGATCCAGTCATGCAGTTTCCAGAAACCATGGAGGCCGGATGCATTACAACAGCTGGTTCAGGAATGGTTGGAGATGGCTGGACTACACCTCAGGCCTCCTTAAGGGAAGCTGCGGGCGGGATGTGAGACACGGCCTCCGTCTCACCCTCCCCTCCCACTCTAGCGTCCATATGGAAGAGAAACACGGAGGGGAGTCGAGCAAAGAATGTGGTGATTTGGTCTGAATAACAACAATAATAATAGTAATAAAGAAGAAGAAAAAAAATCTGAAAACTGTGCAACTGTAATCGGAAAAAAAACAAACAAAAAAACCAAAACAAAAGCGGATCACGACTCCATGAGCAGGTATGAATGAGAATGAGAGGCATTTTCTGGCTGCGTTTGGCTTTCGTTTGCTCCTGGCGTTGGGTTTACCTGGGATCGGGTAGTGCACAGCCCCACAGGTGTTGCTTTAGGGTCTGCACCCAGCCAATATCTCGGATTGGCTGGCAGAGTTGTATGTAGTGGTACTGTTTTAGCACAACCCTTCAAATGAATCAGAATGTCACTCATTAGCACAGAACAAACTGGACACAGCATCATCTAATAATAGTAAAAACAATAGTAATAGTTAGAAATGACATGTAGGAGAGAGGTAAGTCTATCACACATCTGTGTTTTTGGTTGTTTGAAGCACATGACATGTTTATTCTGGAATGAGCGTCTTCTTTTCTCACGCGCATGTCGCTCCGTAAACCCGATGAGTTCTTGGAATATATTGGGAAGTGATGTGAGAATAATATATTCTTCAGTCCCCACACCATCAGAGAAACATGCGCGTGTCGGGAAAAAAGAAGCAGCAGCAGCTTCGGCTCATGCCAGAATGCGGCGCGACTCTTAGCGCTAAGCGTAGCGGAGGGGTCAAAGGTTAAGGGGGGTTGGGGGGATGTGAAAGCTACGTTCTCTTCCATGTGGATAGAGCCGATACAATGTCGTCTGTCACACAGACACAGACTGGGACAGGGGAAATGCTGACAGACACCTGCAACCAACTAACCTTTAACCATTCCTCTTAACGAAAAGAAGCAAAGAACACACTGCTTTTTCTGCTTTTTTTTTTTTTTTGCATTTTTTTAGAATGTTTCATTAAATAAGACCAAGCAGATAAAACACAAGCACGTCACAGTTTTTTTCTTTTTTTTTGTCCAAGACATAGCTTTCTTTAGCATACTTTCTATCCTTATTTTTGTCTAATAAATACATATAGATAGCACCGAGTGTGTGGTGTAATAATTTACATTTACAAGACAAGGTGCCCCCCTCTCCACCCCGCTGCCCCCCCCCCCTCTGCACCCCCCCTCCACCCCCCCCAAACACCAATCAAAGGCTGCAAAATGCTAATGAGTCGGGCCCATGTCCCAGATGGGGTTGGTGTTCAGCTTGAATGTGTGCGGTGGTGATGGTTGCCGAGGAGACGAAGCGAGGAGTCACAACTTTCAGCCATTCTGAATGAAGGAGATGTTGAGCTGCAGACAAAACGGCGGCGGCGCGACACAGAACAAGGCTTTACGGCTCTGACGGACCCAAGAACGGGATGCAGTGTTGTATCCTGACAAAGACGTCTGGGATTGTTTGACTTTTTTTTTTTTTTTTTACAGTCTGAGCTTAGAAACATCCATCCGTTATCAAGACATTTATAATTTATTTTACCAGCTGTGTAACTCAGTTGCAAGAAGACACAATTTGTGATTGTACCACGAATAAGAACAGGTATAGAAATGATAGCTAAACTAGCAATTACTTTGCTAGTTTGAGTGTCAGGTTACAACACGGATCCTAACACTGATAAAGTTTTGCGCCGATCAGTTCTTTGGACCAATGTTTATGGAAGCCCATTTGTGCCATGATTGAAAGTATACAAGTCCAACAGGAAGTCGTAACTACGAGAGTTAAAGTCATACTTTTGGGAAAAAAAGTCCTAATTATAAGGTAGGAAGTCATAATTTCTACTTTCAAAGTCATAATCATGAGATAGAAAGTTTTAGTTATAAAACTAATAATGAGACAGAAAAAGTTAATTCTGACTTTGAAGGTCATTTCTACTTTCAGTCAAAAACAAATTTTCATCCATATTTACGGGCTGTTATTTTTCCTTTCGTGGCAAAAACAGGCTTTCATAAATGCTCAACCTTCTGTGTTTGTAGATCTCAGACGTGCCGATGCTGATTTTCTCTTAAAAATACAATATAAGAGGATAAAAGAATACCATTATTAATGTATTTTTCTAGCCCTCTAGCTGTAGGGTGTCATTAATTATTTACACCAGGAGCAACCCTGCTGTGTGAAAGAGCAGTTCCTGTACATCAGGCTTTTACTATTAGCTAAGAACAAGGTAAAAATGATTGTAGGTTTTACCATTTGTTCTGTCTTTAGCGATCGGCACAGAGAGTGAGGCTAGCATAGCTAAAGCTGCATTATGCTACAGGATGTGGATGGTTGTCTCTGAGATTTCTGAAAGGCTGCCATTTCCAAATCCAGCAGCAGGAAAACAGAGCAACTGTGCTGAGCTCCAACAAGCCTTCCTGTTATCTGCTGAAACTCTTGATCTCTCAGTCTAGATGACATGTCATAAAAATTACTGCTTTCTTTTGCAAAACTTGATACATCTCAGTTCTTCCCTAATGTCATTTTTAACACACCAGTGTAACTGGAAATAGCCAGCTTAGTGTTTTATTTTACTCAGAGTCCAAACCAAACATTTGTTGTCTATGTGACCTGCTAGCATTTAGCATGGTGTGCTCATTAAGCAGAAGTAAGCAGGACTTTGTATCACTGTTAAAAATTATCTGATTACGCTCACCAGCATCTCTAACATATTGTGAAAGTTGCTGAATATATATTTTTTAAATAAAGCACATTTTAGCATTAGCAAAAATAGTAGCAGTTTTGATTAGCTCCTGGACTTTAACCTGTTACTTTAGTTAGTTAACAATATCGATTTTAACACCAAAAAATCAAATTTTACATACAAAAATTGCGACAGGAACCTTTGTACTCACTTGTTTCTGACATGCCAGTAAATCTGACGCACAAGCAATAGATTAAAAACAATACATATCTTTGATGTTGACCTCTATTTATTCAGAAAATATATTTTTTTTAAATTAATAATGTTGCTTGTTTACTTGATATTTAGATTTTGATTAAAATGGGAATAATTGCGGTTAAGTAATTACAGACCCTGCAATTAACTCAATTAGAAACTTTAATTGAGTCCTAAAAAATAAATATGACTATCTTCGCTGACTATTGTGAACAGAGCTGTAAGGACAAAGTAACAAAAAATATGCTGTGGTGTAGAAAATCCCAGTTTTTTTTTTTTACTAGCGGTGTTTGTTTTCATAATTAGCATTTAAAACCAACAAAACCACCCCATCCCTAATATCTGAAGTAGATGGAAAACAGACATCTCTGTCACTGTGCATCCGTGAATGAATAATCTAAAAGCTGAATTATGATCTGTTTCTTGTCGTCCCAAGTCAGTGAAATAACATCAGTGCATAACAAAAGAGGCCGTACAGGGAGGCGTGTGTCTCTGCGTTCACACAGTCGCATCACTGTGGCTTCTCAGACGGAGGAGCCTTGCTAATAAAGAGAGTGTTGGAGGTGATTCCACTGAGTTAAGAGCAGTCAGGCTGAAAGCTGAGAACGTTGTGCGACAGACACACAGGAAACAAACACGAACAGTTCCCAGCTCCTCTGAGTGCCTCCCTCCCTAACCCTTATTATGAGAAATGATAGTACTGCGGTTTAAAAGGGTTACGCTTGCATTACAGCATTATGTAATTCATAGGGAATCCTCCTCTGTTCTCTGACAGACTAGGCCTTAATGCATAATCGGTTTAATGTAACCTAACCGTCGCTTTCAGGACAAACTGCGGTATGAATGAGGCTCACATGAAAGGAGCAGATGCTGAATGGGAGAACAGGATCTGCAGATGAATCAAAGACATTTTCGATCTGAAAATGACATTTTTTTTTTTCTTTTCACATTTTTCACATTTACCAAAGCAGAGATGGTAAATGCCAAACACACTTTCAGAGACAGTGACAGAAAGGCAAACAGAGCGAGTACAGAACAAGCTGTGGATCACACGCACACATCATGAATAACCAAGCTGGACATTTATCAAAGATTTTCCAGTTTGCATCTTCAAAAAAAGAAAAAATAATAATTTTTTTTTCAAAAGAGCCAATATGAGTCACTTTTTCTTCAAGCCTTCCTCCCTCAAAAAAAACAACAAAAAACAAAAAGAAAGGAAAAAAAAATATAGATAAATCCTTGATAAACTCTACAAAGCAATCTGCTCAGCTGATCAAAGCCAACCCTTCAGACGTGCTTGTAAATGGGCCCATGCAACAAAAGTCATCCATTGGTTGGCCGGGCAGCCGAGTAGCCATGGCAACCTGGAGATGGAGGCGAGCAGAGTGGGGGGAGGTGGGTGGCATCAAATGGCGGAGACGGGAAAGAGGATGCTTCCGCCCACTCGTTACTATAGCGATCTAGTATAGAGTGAGACAGGAAGAGCAATGGCATGTCATGTTCACACCCTGACATGTTACTGGAGTAGAAATGTAGCCAGGAGGTAGTGAGAGGACAGAGGAGAAGAAGAAGAAGGAAGCAGCTAGAGAAGGACGAAAACAAAGACAAGAACTTGGAACCAATTTTGCAGCCTCTGGGTTTGTATCCCACAAAAAGAAAGAAAGGAGAAAAAAAGGAGAAGTAGTGCTAAATGATTTTTACTCTTTTGCCTCAGCCAGTTTGTTGTTGATCTCTTTACTTTTCTCCTTGTCCCTGACCGCCGGCCGGTTCTCAGGCTGGTTCTCCGAGGTCGTCTTCTTGGAGCCCTTCAGCGCGGCGCTCTGCTTATCTTTGGCTTTCCTCACCGGTTTACCCTGGCCTGCTGCTGCGGCTCCAGGCTTTTTAGGTTTAGAGCGCGGGACACTATACCTGTCAACCTAAGGATGTCAGACAGCAAACAGGTGATTCCTGAGCTGAAACAGGCCCCATGTTTGATTATTTATTATTATTATAAACGTTTCAACACAACACAAGTCCATAAAGTGCCCTACAAATGCATGTGCAGCTTTCAAATTGTTTCATTTCGTCACGTTCCAACCACAAATGTCATTTTATTGGGCTTTTGTGTTATAGAGTAGTAGCATGTGCATGCCACACTTTTCAGATGTTTTGTTTGTAATAAGAATAAACACGCTGATAGCCACAAGTTTTCTATTAGATTATGTTGATCTTCCATAAAACTCCAACAAGATAAACTGAAGTTTGTGGTTGCACCGTAGCAAAATGTGTGAGTCTAAATGAATTTGTCCCCATGACAAAATTTGCTGGACGATAAATTGTCCCAGCAATAACTGTAATTAACAATTATATTGTTGTTTTGAGACTATTTTTAAGTAATTTATTGATAATGGCATACTAATGAAATTCTGCTCTCTGAAAGAACAATACACTTGAATTTTGCAAAAAAAAAAAACCTGAAATACCCCCCCCCAAAAAAAAAACAACCTAAAGCAATAAATAAAAGGGAAATAAAAAGCACACACAACCGAAACCATAAATAAATCAGATTATGATGTCTGTAAACCAAATTGCCCTTCAAAAACTATTAAACCCCAGATTGGAAACAATCAAACTCATTTTAATGCATCATGTGATTCATTCATTTCTTTTAGCGACAAACTTAAAAACGTGAAAAATACGAATGCTTTGGAAAAACACTGCATAGCGGAGAGGTTTTCGTCTCCAGCTCTGATGCAAGTTAGTTCTTTATTTGGACAGATCCACCAGGAAACGAGCAAAACGTGAAGGTGAGACAGGCAAGGGTTTCACTGAAAATCACTCTTGCTGATTCAGAACTACGCTACGCAGTCAGGTGAGTTTGTTCTCACCTGTTTGCTGGGTTCGATGTAAGGCTCGCTGTACAAACTGCGTATCCTCCTCCTCTCCTGGGCCTTGTTGTCCGTGGGCTGCAGCGGAGCCAGCGCTTTGAAGTTGGCGCTGTAGCTGGTCTCTAAGCTCGTCTTTTCATCTGGAGGCAGGTACTGGGACTTGGCCCGAATCATCTTCACTGGCTTCACGTCTTTGTACGCCTTGAACTCGGTTCTGTCGGGAGAAAACAACAAAAAAGGTATCATGAAACCAAATCGAGGGAACGAGACACACCTGGGAACAATCAAGGGCTAACAGGACAACACAGAGACTCAGGGAAACAGGACTAAACACAGAAAATCTCAAAACAATAATACAGAAAAAACACGGATCATGACAGTCAGTGAGGAATTAAAAAGCAAAAATCAGAGGAAGAACAAAACTTTTAAAACTGAAACTTTTTGCTACAGAAGTGACCTCTAACCCAGAAAACTAACCCAGCTGTTGAGACTTACAGTGTGGTTTTTATTATAATACTCCAAGAGATACAAATGTTCATTTAAAAAGTAAAAAAAAAAGAAGTTATTAATCCGTATTTTTTGCCACAGCAGAACAGGATAAACAGGAAGTAAACAAAGAAAATAAAGTCTTAAAACTAGAAGGAAAAAACCCGACAACACATCTACCATCTGCCGTGACCTTATCATCTCATTACTCTAAAAATAAAGTCAGCTCATAACATATGGTCCCTCGCTGCTTTATAAAGCATCCCATCTGCAGCACGCAGGCTGCTAACAGCAACAATGCCTTGGCTGCTGAGTGCAGGAATAACGCTGCAGAACAGAGGCGAGAATCCTGCATTATGTAACGGGACTGAAGTCCATCTCTGAGGCCGCAGCGGGCCAAGACGCCTCGACGCAGAGAAACGTTATACAACCGCCATCGCAGCCAGGAGTACGGCGCGACCACATGACACCAGAGTGTGCATGTGTTAGAGAAAGAGGGGCAGATTGTGAGAACAGACAGGGTTCACAGTGTGAAACACCGGTCTGCACTGCAACATCACTTCTATTCATCGACATATGACCGCGTAACAATACAGCCTGTGTCTCTCAGATCAGGAGGTTCTTGGTACTAAGATTAAAAAGTTTGCGTTCAGCGTCGCATCGTAGGCTGAAACTTTCCGTTAAACAGCAGCAGTTTTGTCTTCATTGATAATGTTTTGGAAAACATATTGATTTGAAGGGCAGGCTGATTTTCCTCTTGATCGGCCCTGATTGAAATTCAAAAATAGGATATTTTCCCAATCAGCGAACGCATCGTAGCTGAGCGCTTATACCAGGTCCCACCTAAAAACAACACACTTCAACATGGACTGCAGTTACTGAGTGAATAAGATGCGAAGTTATGCTAATTTCAGAAGCAGAAGCACGTTTTAAAATGTGTCAAAAGAAGCACAGAGCTGCAAGAAGCTGTTTCGTGGTGCACTGAAAAATAAAAAAATTTAAGTTAATTTGCTATAAGTAATCAAATTAAGTTTATCCAATTAAATATATTAAGTCATGCCGACAAACATAAATACATTTGCTTACCTGAAGCAAATTAACTCTTGGATATATTGTGCATCCCTATAGATGATTATTTGTTCTTAAAGGTTAGAAAGAAATACCATGAAAGCTGTTCTGATGTCTCCTCACATTACTGCCCTTAAACAATATTTGGCTGAAATTACAGCTGGCAGGTCAACATTGTATAAAACTCAGCATTCAATCAGCGCATTATTAATGCAAATATCTTCCATTTATGCATGAATTAGAACAATTGAAGCTAAAAAAACAAAATAAAAACAGTATTTTAAACTTTACAGGACCCCAGGGACAGAGTCCTGTAACCTTTAGATGTGTCCTAATCTGATGCAGCTGATCAAACTGAGCTTTCAGTCCAGTTCTACTGGGTTCTGCTGGTGACCCAATCCTTTGATTCTGATGTGCTGAAGCAAGCAAACATTTATAGTAACACTTATAGTTTCTCTGACTGAAACTACCAGTCATGACACTCTGAATGTTCAATGTGTTGTGACTTCCTGGTATCACCTGCCTTTATTTGACTGAGGGGAAAGTTAAATTTCTGAAATAAAATGAATGCAATTTTAGAGAAAAACAAGTCATACACTGGAAGTGAGAAATAAACAGTCATAAAACTACAGGGGATATTTCCGTTTTAGTTCGACTCTTATTTTCACATTCTTACTATGGAGGTTTCCACAGCCAGTCTGTGTAATTTTCCTCCCCGATATTCTGCACTGTGTGGTTAACCTGCTTCGGAGAGCCGACCCTGCTGACCTTCTGTCATAGAGAACGGATGCTCAGAGAAAGACCTCATCTGTCTGACTGAACAGTGGCACTGATGGAAGGACAGCCGGGTCGGGGTCCAGTCCTGATGTGGTACAAAGTCGCTTACACACATCGCAAACCGCAGAACTGGGCTAAATGTAAAGGTGATTATGAGGAGGATACAGAGAACTAACTTGGGTTTGAGTAAGAAACTTACCAATCTGTGAAAAGGTGTATGATTGTGTGTGTTCAGTATGACCAGAAAAGTGCTACATAGATTCTACCTCTCCCCCATTTTGACGCCGTTCTAGAGAAATGGATCGGGAAGATAATTAAAGTTTTTGTAGAGTTGTGAAGTAGCCCTCATGCATTTCAAACTTGCCAATACATCACAGCAGGAATTAAATGGTGCAAGAAGGCACAACCCTTTGGGATATTTTAGATTACCTGAATCAACACGGGACGTTCTCTAGCGGTCACCTGCATCTACAAACCGGATTTCAAAATAGTTGGGACACTAAGCAAATTGTGAATAAAAACTGAATTAACTTTTTGATGTGGAGATGGCATATTATTCATAATAGAACATAGATGGCAGATCAAAGTTTAATCTGAGTAAATGTAACATTTTAAAGGAAAAATATGTTGATTCAAAATTTCACAGTGTCTATAAATCCCAAAAAAGTTGGGACAAGTAGCAATATGTGGCTGGAAAAAGGAAATTGAACATATAACAAACAGCTGGGAAACAAATTAACACTAATTAGGTCAATTGACAACATGATTGGGTATAAAAAGAGCTTCTTAGAGTGTCGGTGTCTTTGAAGCCAAGATGGTAAGAGGATCACCAATTCCACCATTGTTGCACAGAAAGATAGTGCAGCAATACCAGAATGGTGTTACCCAGCGTAAAATAGCAAAGACTTTTAAGTTATCATCATCAACCGTGCATAACATCATCAACAGATTCAGAGAATCTGGAATAATCGCTGTGCGGAAAGGTCAAAGCTGTAAAACTCAACTGGATAGTAGAATAGTGCATAAAAATTTGCGCATGCTGCTGTAAGCTTTAAAAAACTAAATTATTTCTCTGTGAAATCCTTTGGACAGAACTCTCATTGGGTGGAAAATTGCTACAGAAATTGTTGTTGAAAACTCCCGCATGTCCGTTACTGTGTAACTGTACTTTGAAATCTCTTTAAAACAAATAAAAACAGTTCTTCCATACACTTTTGGCTTGTCCTCTTTGCTTATTAGCTCTGCTTTCTGCTTATTTTATATGCTGTAATGTGGTATTTTTAACCCCGGTGTATTTCTCTATTATTTAGATCTTTCATCAGCTTTATATGCAGTTTAATGTTATTCCTGTCACAACTGTGAAGTGTTTGAGTTTGCATTTGATTATATCCCCGTTGTTTACTTCATCTTAGATCCAGCCTTTATATTTCATCCCTTCTTGTTCAGTTTTGCTTGGATTCTTTGTGCATTTGAGTTTTGATAACAGGTCAGCCTTTCGCCTCTCCTCATGACAATTTGTCTGACAGTTGCAGCTTCTTTCAGAAGCTCTATAATCTGTGCACTGATACTGCGAAGACAAATTTCCCTCTCGGTGATTCTAATTCCACACCAACACTGGTGAGAGCCGGCCTTGGTCGGAGTCGTCCAGGCCATCGATCTCCCTGTGCGCACAGCCCCAGCTTTCGTTCTCAGCAGCCGTTCTTGTTGCGTCAGCCGGTGCAGCTTCTGGTTTCTGCTCAGCAGCTCCCTCCTTTCTCTCTGTGCCGCCTAAAAACCTCTAGAACCGCTTGCGGTTTCGCGACTTCTACAGCTAAAAGGGAACATTTTCATGAATCACAATTACTGAAACGCTGCAGGGAGGATTGAGCCAGTCTCTATTTGAATTGACATCAGGGTTAAAGAGTTTCAGCGTCAGATTTAATCGGAATACATGACACTGTCAAATCTGTGTGAGCAGATACGACAGAACCAGATTAGAGAAGTTACATAAGACAAGCAGCTTTTCCAGAGAATGTTCTGAACCGAGGCAACAGCAGAACACGAGTGGGTTTTATTTTGAGGAACAAAATCAATTTTCTTTCAAAGCTTTTTCCTCCCGCTAAAACGTGGCAGAGTATGGGATTGCTCCGTTCACAGTCTGTCGACTCTCGGGAGCGTTTAGACCTGAAAACGGATCAGTGTAAATGCAGCTACACCTAATAGCGCTCTTTAGTAAATGTGACGTAGACGGCAGTCATTGGGAGTTTAACTGACGTTCTTTGTGAGGTTTCATGATTTTATGTTTGCCCTGACAAAGTAAAAACTAACCCAGGAAGCTTCGGAGATTTTACTGCTCAGAGAAATGTGTCAAACAATAATTGGTGACACAAATTATAAAATATATCAGAAACTCTGAACCCGCTGAACCTGAAAGACTCTTGTGTTTTTTGGCGCATTTCGTTCCTCACTGCTTGTTTCCTCGCTCTACTTTTTAAATGCTATTTATTAAACTGACATAGAAAAGCGCGCGAGGCTGACAGGACGAAGAATAGCTTTTGTCTTGAAACAGAGTGGGTAGCAGAACGAAAACAAGAACAAAGGCTCCAACAGCAGCTTTCGCCTCGTTTATTGTCACACAAAAATGACATTTAAAGCATAATGGAGAGAGTTGGAAATGTGAAGGCTGGATGGAAGAGTTCTGGTTGAAAATGCTGCACTAATTCAGAGAAAACACCCTGGCGAACGCCGTTGTTAGCAAAACAGAGATGCCTCTAGCATTTTCCCAGGTACTAAAAGGAGCCTTTGTGTTTTAGAGAACTGTGTGTTCTCAAATAGAAAGTCAGGAAATAGCCAGGAGTAAAAGAGAGTCATGCAAGGAAGACAAGTGGGTTTTAATCTATTTTGATACTGGTATCAAATACTTGTAGAGATGAACCAATCACATCTCTAACCTGCTCAAACCAGTTTATGCAGATTCAGATTTTTTTTTTTTTTATGAGAATCAATGTTGTTTTTTTCTGAATACATTAAAAATAATTGGCCTCTTAAAACGGTTGTAGAAAATTAAAGCAACTGCTTTTATCTGCACCACTGAAAAACTAAAACAACTCCTGCAGAGATGTCAGTGCAAAGAAAAAAATAAACTATGTCTCATTTACTCCTTTGCAAATTTCAATGCATCTGTTTTGTTTTTACACTTAAAACATGAAAAAACTGTGCTGTATCACCAGATACTCCAATTTTTTGGACAAGATCTTTTCAAAATAAATGACAACTCTGTACAGAAAAATAGACGAGAGAAATAAGACTTTTCTATTAAACCTTAGATTGCAAGATCATTCATTTTCATTCACACTGTCTTCAACAATCATTACTTGTTTGTAATAGTTATGTTGCATTTGAGAGCGCAGTAGGAATTACACAGCTCTGCAGCCATACAGGACTTCACTGTTACTCACAATAAAATGACTTATGACCCAAATTGAGTCTAATACGCCATTTTGATTTTTTTTTTTTAACTAAAATCCTTTTTTTAAAAAAAAAAACAAAAACAAACATGGTTATTAATGCTACTAATTAAATGCAATGGCAATCAGACATGTGTGTGAACGGTTTGTGACTCGCATGCACAGAAGAAGAACGTCGACGTCACACAGCAGCGCACTGTTTATGGAGGTAAAAATGGATCGATTTTAAAGGTTTTAAGCAATGGGAGCCAATACAGAGTCACAAGATCAATACAAGACAAAGGAAGCTAAACAAAAAAGAACTTAGGTGTTTACTGCTGGCTTGTTTACGTCCTGATTTACCACATTTAGCTTCTTCTGGTGCAGGATTATTACGCAGGTCAGCGAAGTGAAAGTCCCGCTCTTGCCTTGACCTCCAGCAGCTTTCGGCGCCCACCTTCCAGTTGAGGTTAACCACTGAGACTGCTTTGCAAAACTCAATTCAATTCAATTCAAAAGTACTTTATTAATCCAAAAGGAAAATTTTATTAAAAAACCTGACTGAATTACTTTTTAGAGATACATAATTCTCTCATTAAGGCAAGTAGAAAATTAATATCATTGCAGGTTAATCCAAAGTTCAAACCCCCTAACAATAGATGACTGATGTTGTCTACAGTGTGACTGAAAAACGTAGCCAAGCCTCCAAGGTCACAAGAAATCCACGTAAGGTTGTTCCACACAGGAATAAACTTATGACGATACAATCAGGTGGAAACTTTTGGCAATAAAACGTAGAAAACATGATTTTGCATGAACAAGCTAGAGTATAAAATAAGGAGAAAAAGGCATGTCCGCTACTTTTTAAAAATCAATTTAACATTCTATTCCTTCTGACAAAAATGGAAGTAGCACAATATGGTTTCAGCTGCAAAACGCTACTTTATGATTTCAACCATTTGCTCATGAACTATAGTTTTGTCTCTATACTCTGTAACCTCCTTACTGTCTTTGCAGGCAGACGAAAACAGAGTCGACTTGGCTTCTGCAGGCCGTCTTATTACAGCGCTGATGGAGAGAGCCTGCTTTGCTCCCTGCTGACTGCTAAACAACACAGGCACCAAACAGCCGGAGGATTCTGCTGATGCACTAACACGGTGCCATTTGCCTACGCCGACCGAGTCACACTTCCCACCAAAGACTGCTCAGTAGCAGCACTGAGCCAAATTATTTTCTGCCTATACATACCACTGGTTATTTTTATAGCAAGACAAAGCATGAAAAACTGCAAAAGAAAAAAACTCAATTGAGCGTCCTGCACTGGCTCAGGCTTAAATAAACACAAACCAGGCTTTTCAAATGCAGCGAGGAGACGCAGCACACAGCAGTAACATGCATGACTTGACGTGCATCCTTCCACCCGTCCCCATCGTTGTCTGGAACGGTGCATAACAAAACAGAGATTAGCCTCGTGGACCTGAACGTTAGCGGCATCCTGCAACCGGTTTCATTCAGCCTAGTGGCATTCAGAGGTGAAAACTGAAGCTGATTGCCATTTAATGCGCTCTCACACACACACACGGCGTGAAAGGACAAGTTTGTGCAGCGGTTGGCAGATTTATGAGTTTAGTGTGATCCTGCACAGAGAAATTCTGCAACAATTTCTTCCTTAAAAAAATCCACTCAGTTTATCTTGTCAAAGAAAGCAGCAAATGTTCAACTTATGCACTCAGATTTCAGGTAATGGGCCAAAACAAGATGTGTAGTAAAGATTATTGAACATCTTAAACATTTATTGTTAAGTTATATGATGGACTATTTCATCTGGATCTTTTGGGGGGTTTTTTTGTCACTGTCTGAAGTTAAATCAGAGAAAACTTTTCTTGTTTCAGGTCAGTTAGAATAACAGCGATTATTTCAGGTTTCCAACTCCCACCGTAATGACAGGAAGAATAGGTCAGAGATTTTTTTTTTTTTTATTATTAAAGGGGCAGTATATCACAAAAATACCGGAAAACACAGTATTATGTGCTTTTCATAATGCTGTGGCATTTAGTCATAATCAATTTTGTAACCTTCAGTTGTTATAAAATGTTGTATATATCAAATGTGACTTAAAATAACTGTGTGTGTGGCAGTGTAAACCTGTGAATGTATTTTAAGGCCACACCTGACACACACTGCTTTCCTATTGGACCATAATGGGAAAGTCAGAGGAAATCAGCCAACATGCCAGGAAGTGAACTGTGGAGTCCGGCTCGTCCTTGGAAACAATTTTTATTAACAAATAAATTCCTGACATATTATTTATCTCGTTTTTATGGTATTTATCAAACAGACATTATCCAGGTAATTCTAACTGACCTAAAACAGGAGAAGTTTGGTCTCATTTTCTGTCTGAAAACCAGTTTCAGATAGAAAGTCATTTTTAATTCAGTGTATGTAAACTTCTGGTTTAAAGTATGTTTTGCCAAAATGGCATAATTCTCACAATCCAATGATAAACATCTGTCAAAGTACTAAGCAAAGATTCACCTATATCAGATAAAGTTAACATCGGAAATATTAATAGTGCAATAAAGTCACTTTTAGTCAAACTACCTGACAATAAATGCAGTTAATTATAAACTTTATGGCATTTTTATGACCACCTAACACCTGTATGGACCTGACGACCGGTCTCATCCACTTTGATCAACACACACCAACAAACGGGGAGTAATCACTTACTTATAGGAGCTGCCAGCTGAGATCTCCTCCTTGATCTGTCGGTTCAGGGCATCCACCGCCGCCCTCCCCCTGCCTTCTGCCTCCACCTTCAGGACCACCTTTTTCGGCCCCTCCTGCTTACCGGACCGCTTTTTCCTCTCCTGCCCTTGCAGCAGGTCTTTTTCCTGCACCTTGTCGGCAATGGCGCCTTTCTCCACGCCGCATTCCGCATCCAGCGCTACGTGCTTTTTCACGTGCCTGGGTCGGTGGTCGTCGCCGGCGCTCGGTGGGGGTTTGGGTATCCAGGGGTGGTCGTACCTCTTCGGGATGGGCCAGGGCTTGAAGTCCTTCTGGTACTGGGTCTCGGTGTTAAACGGTGTCTCCGGCTCATGGTACTCGCTCCTGGGTTTACAGCTGGGCTCGGGCCGCACTTTCCAATGTTTGAAGTCCTCGCGCATCACCGAGCTGCACACGCGCTCCTCGGAGACGCACCTGCGCGGCCCACGCGACGTTTTCGCCAAGCGGGTTTCCGCGCGCGACGGCTGCGTTTCTATGGCGACCCGGGCCTGGGGAGGATGGAGAGACGGCTGCAGCTGGATGTGCTGCATTTCCGACACGTCCGTGTACTTGGTGAAGACCAAAGGCACTGCAATGTCAGCCTTGTCCAGCTGGTTCCAGAACCGGGCCATGCAGCACGCCCGGCTGATGCAGGGCCACGCCATGCTGTGGGATTTAGAGTTCCACTAAAAAGAAAAACACACACAAATAGCGCTACTTCCAAGCAGGCTGACACGACAGAAAAATACGGTTCCGCTCTCCGACACAGTGATGTGAGAAAATCAAGATGTCCGCATGAGAAGGCTCCGACGCTTTAGACGTTAAGACTGCATATGAATCCTATTTAATCTGAAGAATGCTAAAGATTAAAAAAAACGATATCACAAACCGAACCGTGAGAACCGTCCTCTGCTCCTTCTGTGTCCCTTCTGGTCGTCCTGCTACATCAGGGCTGCACTGCAAGGAATAACGGCCCCGCCCGCCTGTTTAGCATCCCGGAGACACTGACGGGAACCGAAGAGGAAAATACAAGTCAAGCTGGAGAGTTTCACTTCCTGTTTAGCGCCAGCATTAAAGCTATGATGACCTTCCTGTTACAGTCGAGAATGCGGTCGCTTTTATTAAATAGAAACGAAGATAGCATAAGAAATTACATTTGAAACAAATAGGAAGCATTTCTACTGGAAACGCGGTTGCTACGAATGTTCAATTTTGAAATACAACAGAACTCTCGACGCACACCGTGGATTTGACGCACCCTTTAGTACGAGATAGACTCTATGGATATAGATATTTGACAAAAAATAAAATAAAAAAAATAAAATAAAAAAAGGTACAAAAAGTGAAAATTGACGATATCGATATCTATCTGTCCCAATGCTTTATCAAACTTTAATGTAGGGGAGACCGGGTATGGTTGTAACATAGGGAGCACCAGTTCCACCAATCAGGGATAAGATAGGAGTCACATGATCATTTCAGTGTTTACCTGCTTCCTCCCCAATCCCATATTGTGATTGTCAAGGCTGGAAACAGGCACATACGGATACTAAGGGGAAAAAACGGATTTTGAGGTAAGAAAGTAAATTTTTTGACCATGACTACATTTTGTTTAGTACTTATATTGCAGATAAAACCATATGACTTACATTAGATGAAAGTGTAACTTCTCAGGCAGAATGTGATGCATTTTCCCGTGCTAATTTCAAACCGCTATGCTACTACAGCTAGCTAAACATGGCTGATAACTAAGAACATTTTGATTTTAATAATTTTACAGAATGCCTAGGCAGTGGATACAAAAGACTGATAGAGGTGTGCCTGCAGATGTTTTGAAAAAGGCATCTGATGAGGTCACAAAGAAGAGCAAGTCAGTCAGATCAGTTGCGAAGGCGCATGGGATCTGCCATGTAACACTGAGCAGATACTGCAAATCACTGCAGAAGCTGAGAGAACAGGGGTCCAGTGATCTTCCCAGTGTAGGTTATTGGAGCAGCAACAAAGTCTTCTCTGAGGTGCAGGAGGAAGTGTTGACTGACTATTTGACTCAGGCAGCAGACCTGTATTATGGACTGACTCCACGTGAGGTAAGCATATGGCAGGTTAGTCACTGGAGACGAGAAGAATTGAATACCAGCGTAGGTGCTAGACAAATTAAAAAACTTTTTGTGTCTATGTACTCTGATTTTCTATTCCTCTTTCTTTTAGGTCAGAAAGTTTGCATATCAACTGGCAGTAACATGTAACATCAAACACCCACAAACACACAAGCACACAAACAGAGTATATTTGAGTTATGGTCAGTCACAGAGAGAGACAGACATTGTTCTTGTATTGTTCTTTTAATTCAGTAAACCTCTTTTTGAAGCATATCACATGGTGTGGCCTCTGTTTTTGCTTCTTTTGTCTAATTGTTACAACTTACCCCAGCAGCTGTTACAACCTACCCCGGTAGCGTGGTAGGTTGTAACAAAGGAACACCATGTATTTGACATGAACTCATGAGGTCTGTGATATTCTTGCAGGGGTTTGAATTGGTGCCATTTGTAGTAAACAAATGTGGGTATTTGGTATAAAAGTTTGAAAACTCATCTAGCTCAAAATATTCTGTGAGTTAAAGGTGCTGGAGCAAAAAGTGTTACAACCATACCCGGTCTCACCTACTCTATCCGGATTAACACTTTATTAGACAGAGTGTGCATAACATTAACATGACATGACATGACATCTGTTATGAACATGGAGTATTTATGAACGTCTATGGCTGTTACCATGACACGTCATTTGGTAAATAACACTTTTATTGCAAAGTTGCTTTAAAAGTTGCATTACAACTAAATTAAAAGAGCCTGCTTTGCATTATTTTGTAAATAATTAAATTTTAATGCAAAGTTAATGGAATATTAATGCAACTTTTAGAGCAACATTGCATTAAAAGTGTCGTTATTTACCGAATGACACTTCATGACAACAGTCATGAACATTCATAAAGACTCCTTCATGTTCATGACAGGTGTTATGTTCACACCGTCTAATAAAGTGTTAATCCGGATTGAGTACATTCATGTTTGATAAAGCATTGGGACGAAATGCGAAAAGTCCGAGGGGTGCAACTACTTCTGAAGTATTGAATTATCCTCTTGAACGTTTGTCACAAAAAAACATTAGAAACACTTTGCTGCCACAAACTGCTGCATAATGAGGATGTTTTTGAAATGAAAGTGGATTCTGGATAGCGAAAGTGGGGAGTTGCTTCAATCAAAAGTGTGTAAAACAGCTACTGCTACAGCGCTGATCATCAGTAACCTACTGATTCATGAATTTTTTTTTTTTTTTTTTACACTGTCAGCAAACAGTGGAATACATGAATAATATGAGCTGATTACGCACCCAGAGGGCTTGTTTCACACTGGCCACAACACACTTACACTGTCTGAATGCAGAACTGGTGTATGCGTTTTCCGACAGCCTGTTTCCAAACATCATGTTTATATTTTTATTTCACTCATAATTTTTGTTTTTTTTGCTTCATCAGTGAGACGAGGAATTCAACATAATGAGGCAGCAGAAGTAGACAGTGAATTTATTATTCATCTTGGGATGTTGTCAAAAAGAAATATTTAACAGAAATTGTTCAGTTTCTTAACAGCACCTACCTGAAAACTGACCACTTTATCTGCTAACAGGATTGCAAAAATATTTAAGACATTCTGTGCAGTGCTAATAGTGTCATTATGTGATAAGAAATGTGTGAACCTTCTCCAAATGACCTTTATCACTGTGTGTCACTGAGGCGCTCTTGCGCTATTGCTCAACCGGCTGAGGTTACATTCATAAAGAGCCACATTTTGCAAGAGCAAAAGTTAACTGTGGAAAAATCTGAATGAAAAAGCCGCGTGGCATCCATTTTTTCCCACGGATCTTTGGCTTCGAGTCCGATTGCTCTGCATTCACGCATCACGCACCCTTCTGGGTCAAAGGTTAGCTGAAGCTGATATATATCCTGAGAAATCAAACCATGTACTGAGTCGAGATAAGCCAAAAGTCAGTAGGAGGCGATGGTGGACGGGTGAGAAGTGCAGACTTTGGACTTCCCTTCCCTTGCTGTCCTTCTTGGACTCGGCGGCGGCACGTCGGCTCGTCTGTCTTCTTTCACAGAAAAATGAAAATTGATTTCGCACCCGTGGATGTGCCCCTCCACAGGAGGCTGCAGACTGCCGCGGTGGTCCAGTGGGTCTTCTGTTTTCTGGCTCTGGGTAAGTGCTGGAGGTAGTTTGTTAAAATGCTGGATCAGAAGCACAAAGGTCAACATGAGAGTGCATGAAAATGTGAAGTGATTTGCACATATATATA